CTAGGTCTGCCCTTCACTTGCTTTGAAACCACAGAAGCCACTTGTAGATGTGAACTTTGGCTTTCAGTTCTGTAAAGTGTGGATATCTCTGGGCTTCCCAAATATTAAGTATAATAGCACCTTTGATAGGAAGATGTTGCAAGCAATAAAACAATACTCAGGCTTCCTCTGTGGGTTCTGGATTAATGTTGTTCTCTTGCTAGTGACCGACTGGAAAACAAGGAGGGAAGATGCTCTGAGATAACCAGGTAATGACATGACAAGTGTTTTTCAACCATCAATCATCCACCCAATCTACCTCCATCCTGTTCCCACCTGGGCACTGAGTGTCAGGGCATTCTCAGCCTTCAGTTGTACTCCAGCCGGCAAAAGCTTTGTTCAAGATGAGCCCTAAGTTGGACGTGGGCTGAATTGGACTCACGAGTTAGAGCTCTGTACAGTCTGAATCGACAAAGCAGGTGGCCTGGCCCAGCCAACGGCTCTGACAGAAAGGGAAAGACTGGCACCATCACTTGAGCTATAAGGGGACTGAACTGTGGTAACTGTGACCAGCTCAAGAGCTTAAGTTCAGTCTGAGCATAATCAAAGGTATTTAAACAATGAAGAAGGAACCACATTTGATCTTTGGTTGCTTTTCAACATCCCCTCTTCTATGATTCATGATGACATTTCACTACTGATCCACACAGGATTCATTAGCAACTTGTTAGCTAGTTACTTGTTTAAGAATATAGTAAGTGTCCATAAATCTACACAAAAACTGGGGCTTAGCAGTGACTATAATATATATAATAATAATACATATATTATCTATATATATATAGTCATGAGATTATATAATCATGAGATTATATTAATATAATATATTCTATATAATCATGAGATTCCTCCCTTGCCTCTCACATGCTCACCCATGCCCCTGCTGAGGTAGGTGGGCCAGTCTCTTTTGTTTATTAATTTAACAAAAATTGGCTGCACTGCACCTATTTAATATCTGAGGAACCTTGTTAAATGCACCCTGCTGAGGTAAGCACCGCCCATCCCAGAGTCCCATTTCCATCGTTCCTTTGCTTCTTCATGAGAAGGAATCTGAGCTACATGGAACCTGTTGGGACTTTAACCTTGTTATTCAGTTGCTTATGTTTCATTTTTATTTGACAAAACCTGTAGTTCATTTATTTTGGCTTCAGTGTGATACTTTATTGTGTGACTGTATTTACAGGCAGATGCTTAAAGGCTGGCCCAAGACAAGTCTTAAAACTGAGATCGGCTCATTATTTTATTCATCCAACACTATTCAATACTCACTCTATCCCGTGCATTGTAGGAGAGTTTGGATGTGGCCATCAACACAACAGTCTCGGTCCCTTGAAATTACAACTCGCAGTTTTGACTTTACTCACTTTTTCCTGCCTTTGTTTACAAATGAGTACTGAATGTTTTGGACATCCACGACCAAGTAGCCAGCAGCTGGAAGCATTGCCCACCATGAGGTATCAGGCTTCTTCAGCTCATGATGAGTAGCCAAGACCTAGAAAGGTGCAGACTGCACATTTTCTTTGTTCCCTCTGTGTCTGGGCTTCTCTAGCATAATCCCTTGCCTGTCATCGGTATCATCAATACCTGCTGAATTAGTAAAAAAACAAAAGAAACTTACCTTACCTACCTTAACTAATGCAGGCGTGTATACACAGGTAGAGTCCATGGAAAAGAATGAACTGATGGGAAGGGCTTGCTGAATAGATGCTCTTAGTATCCTCCTGCCTGTTCTAGCCTCCCACATTCCAGCAGACACCTGGCCTGTTTAACCAAAGCTCAAAGGCACCCAGTCCACTGGCAAAGCCAGACTCAATCTCCCAAGTGCATACAGAATCTTCTCTTCCTCAAATAACCCTGCCTCCCCTCCAAACCTGCCTACCTTTATGTCGCTTCTCCATCACCTCACACTTGCTCCTGATGGCTGGCCCCTTTCCATCTTTCAAGTCACAGTTCAGATGTGACCTCTCTGGAGAGTCCCTCTTCCCAACTGTTCTGACCCTTTCCCTTGACCTTTACTGTCTCCATCCAGACACTCTCTCTTCTCAGTCTGTTTTCCTCTGGAGGCTTTCCCAACCCTGTGTGGTTTTTTTCCTGACTTATTATCTGGGGTAGTCCACACTCCCCAAGCACTCCAAGGGATGTAGCACTCAGTTGTCTTGTTTGGGCATCTCTCCCAGTGTGCCGGGATGAATGTTTATTGATCTTTGACTCCAATTTCTTTTTGGATCAGGGTCTGATGAACATTCCCCATACATCTACTTACTAGCAGTTATTTAATGCTAACCACCCTGGTTACCACACACTCGGTTTCAATAATTTTTAATCTGGATCTAAGTTAAAGGAAAAGACTTTACCAGTTTGTGTGTACACTGCTGTTGGTATTGCTATCTCCTGACTAAATATCTGCAGGGCCAGCTACACTGGTCTATTCTCATCTTCATCCTGAAAGTTGTCCCCTCCATCCAGCCTGGTGATGAACAAGGAAAGAAGAGAAACGAGCAGAGCCCAGAAACTAGTTCAGTCTTTTGTAGGCATGAGCCAGATGCTTAACATAGAAAACAGACCAATACAATTTTTATTTATCAATTCTAAATAAAATTTTAAAGAAACAGAAAGAGACTGAGATGGAGAAATGGTGACTGTCCAAACAGAGAAGGGTTATAGAAGCACTGGGGATGGACAGGCAGGAAAAGGTGGCCATGTGTGAGCCAGGCACCAGAAAGCTCCTTTTATTTCTTGTCCAAAGGCAGACAATCAGTAGAAATCAGAGCCTGAGGACGATTGCACCAACCATCTGTAGTGACATCAAAGGCCAAATCCCTCCAGCAGACTGCAGACTCCAATGCAGAAGGAAAGGAAAGCAGGCCCATTTTAATCACTATCACTGCCTCCCATTTTAATCATGATATCAGGTATGTTCCTGTAACCAACCTAGGATTCCCACACACCCAGGGCTTAGAAGAAGCCTTTTCACTCCCAAGTGGGACCAGAAAAATCCCCAGTAAGAAATGTACAGGATTCTGCAGCTTCCTCCCATCATCAATGGGTATCCATGACCTCCATACAGTATTGGCAAGCCAGACCCTATGTAGAGGCTTAAAGCTCAGACAGCTCTCAGGGACTCCCCACCATCTACCAGACTTTAAAGGGAAAATCAAGAAGGTTCTGAGATGCTTGAGAGATAGGAAAGGTTCGGAGAATGATGTAAGCATTGCAGCTTGGACAGAATGGGAGCCAAGGAATACCACAAAGTCACTGTAAGCCTAGCAGCTTACAGTTCTGCTCCAGGGAAAGGTTTCCTCAATATAACAATTCTGCCCAGGCAGGAGAGGGTTTCCCCAGAAAAGTTGTTATGGCTCTGCTGTGTGTAACAACTCTGCTCTGGTAGGAGAAGGTTTCCCAAGTGAAAGTGTTACAGTTCTGCTCTGCTCTGGCTCCAGCAAAAGTTGCTACAGCTGGGCTTCACTCAGGTGAAATGTCACACCATACAACAAACCTCACTCAAGAGATTTATTGGGAAGGAAGAATCTAGGAGGGTGGCTGCTTTGAGTGAGAAACAGAAGCAAACGAACAGGGTACAGACCTTATATAGGATTTATTGAGGGGTGGAGCTTTCAGGGTAGTTAGGGATTGGCAAATTTTGGTGGTTTGATTCTGGTGCAAGCTCAGGGATTGGTGGCATTTTGTGCTCAGGGACCTCGAGGATTGGTAGGATTCTGTGCTCAGGGATTGGTAGGATTCTGCAGCTTGACTGTGTGCTAAGCCCAGAGATTCATGTGATTTCAAGCCCTGGTCCTGGGGGTCAAGTCAGGGCCAGAGTGTTTTTCCTTGGCCCTTTTCACCCTACAAATGTGAACCTGGGCATCACCCTCCCTTTGACCCTTGCCTGTAGGAAAAGGAGTAAACATACTTTGCATATGAGTCTTTGTATAGGCAGCCCCTATATCTGATTCTCTACAGCCTGTGTACTTTGAGTGCATGTGGGAAGTGGGTGAGCAAACGCAGGAAATGCCTGTGCGTGTGTTTACACACGTGTGTCACTGCAGGACTAAGACCACACTCAGAAATGTATCCTGGTAGACTTGTTTGGGCTTGCCTGTTTTGTTAGATATACTCTACATGCAGCAAATAACTCAGTAAATACACCTCTCAGTGAGAGTGTAACACACATAAACACTGTGTAGCCAACACCCACAGCAAGTTTTAGAAATTTCTCAATATTCCAGAACATTCCACTGTGCTTCTTCCTATAACCACCCCACTTCCCCAATAGTAATCACTGTTCTGACTGTTAGCACCCCTAAGCTTTACCGCTTGATTCTGTTATCAATGTCATTGAGCAATACATATTCTCTCATATTTAGGTCTTTCATCATTATGTCATGAAGTTCATCCATGGCATGGCATGGCATTTAGCATGAGCTTTGTATTAGTTACTATCACGTTCTTGTGAGAAAGTATTCCACAGAAGCAACTTAAAGGAGGAAAGAGTGATTTGGCTCACAGATTCAGAGGGCTTAGCCGGAAGTTACGCTGCTCCAAGAGGGGGTGGGTGGTGGAGACTGGCTCACTGCTTAGGCTACTAGGACAAAGAAAAGAATGTTGGGAAAGTTTGGGGCAAGATACTCTTTCTAGGGGTTTGCCTCTGTGATCTAACTCCTCCAATAAGGCCCCAGTTTCTAACTTCCACCAGTCCCCAATATTGCTGTTGTGCTATGGATCCATCAATCAGTTTATCCATCCATTACATTATATATGGTATAATATATAATGGTATATATATGGTAGAGTATAGACTGTAGCAATGCTTTGGCCACATCTACTGATACTCAACACAGGCTGGCTTATGATTTGATGGCTCAGTAGATCTACTGTGGGACATAATCACAAAATAAAAGGAAATACTTACATTTGGGAAGCAGATCCCCTCACTCAACTTGCCATTTTTCCTTCAATTACAGGATCCAGACACTGACCAACCCCTGAACAGCCACGGTAAGCTCAGGTCCCCAGGCCTTTGAATCTCAGTGACTGAGCCACTGGACATCATTCAAAAGATAGTACTAACATTCATAAGTTGCAGGATTTGTTCTAGAAATGCCTGGTCTCTAAGGGAATATGACCAGCAGCCCCAAAAGGCCAAGAACAGCGACTCCCACTCTATTATTTGGGCTACACAGAATAGGGCTGAGGCAGCAGCAAAGCCAAGGCTCCTATCTCACGGAGTTCATGCAACCAAGAATTCAGGGCACTGGTACTTTACTGGTAGGAAAGGAAATAGCTGTGAATTCCTGGTTAAAGGAGACAAATGAGTGAGTAAATAGAAAACTCCCAATTTTAAGGGTTTTGCCCCCTCCTATTATATTTTCTTAAATCGTTGAAGCCTAGTCCTGATAGCCTATACTTCAGCAAGACAAATAAAACAGGGAACAAATTAAAGGGAACAAATCCAGAAGGCAATGGCTCAAGCCCTCTCAGGTTAACAACTTATTTGAATCACAAGTTAATAATGATCAGAAACAATAACTCAGCTAGTAGAAACAGGGCCTCCTTTGTACTTGGGAGCTTAATGTAACAGTAGACCACAGGCCCCCAAGGAGCACCAGGCTTCCTGTGGCTCTTCCTGTGTGAGTCTCAAGAACTGCCAAACCAGAATGGCAGCTGAATCGGCTCCAAACACCTGGTGGGAAGGGAGTTAAAATAAAAGACCTTTGGTGGGGGGGGTGGCTGATAAACCAGGCTAACTAGGAGAGTCAACTAGCAACAGCAGGGGTGAGGGAGGGATGGGGAGGGGAGGAATCAGAGCTCCTGAGTGTCAGAGATCAGGAATAACACTCAACAACAGAAAGTCAACCTGCCCCTGTGACTGGGTGCTGGGGTGGGGGCTGGCTGCTGAACACTAGCAGTGATGTCTGTCCATTTGGTTCAGAAAATGAGGTTAATTACATTGCTTACAAGATTGGGTTGTCCAGAAATGAATGGGTTAGGAGCCCCTATTGTCACACAAGAGGGAAGGGACAGGGTATAAAAGCCACCTTCCTGGAAGCTTTGTCTAGAAGCAATGGGCAGGACAATCAGACAGAAGGAACAACCAACCACAGGCAAGGAGGCTATTTATGAACTTGAGCTAAGTGTGAAACCGCATCCCTTCCTGAGGAGGGAGGCAGGTGTTCCCTGAGAACAGGCAGGACGAGGCCCAGTGACTCCTTCAAAAGATTGGTTGCTCTCCAAGAAAACAAATAAATCAACCTCATGTTCCCAGAAGCAGGTGTCCAAGAAACAAATCAGACATTAATAATTGAACAAAATACTGAGTCGGTGGCCACAGGAACAGAACAATTCTGAAGAGTCAGCATGGGAACTTGAAAAGCAGGACTACCTAGCATTATTGATGACACTTGTTTTGTGACAGACAGGTCCTAACAATTTATAGGCAATATCTCCTCATACATCCCCACTGCTGGGCTGCAGTGGCATTAACTCCCCGTTAGGGAACCACAAAGTTTCATCTTTCCTATTGACAGTCATTGATACTGTTGTTTATGGGGCATGGGCCTCTGACAGACACCAGCCTCAGCTTCCACTGAGCAGAAGATAGGGGGTAATGCCAGACACATGGCCCCGCATCATTGTTTGCGGCAGAATAAAGAGAGAGCTGGCGGAAGGATGGACAGGGTGTGTCCTTAAGAGAACAGAGCCAAGAACGGATGGATCATTTCCCACTTCACAGACACTCACTGGACATCTGCCATGGGACAGGCTCTGCTCTGAGCACTGGAGACTCAGCAGCAATGCACAAGATAGCCTGCGTTTTTTGATGGCTTCATTTCCATTTCAGGGAGGGATGAGAGGAAAGAGAAAACACACAAAAACGTCAGAAAGTAGGTCAGAGATGATAAGTGCTTGGGGGGGGCAAGCAAGGAGGGAGCATGGGAAACATGGGATGGTCGCATCTTGAACAGAAAGTTCTAGAATGGGCTCACACAAAGGAGATGTGGAAAAGGGGCTTGAAAGAGACTGGAGTGAGCCATGTGGCTGGGGAGAACAAGAGAGCCCGCCTACTGCTTTCTAGCCATGTTTCTTCCCAGCTCCTCTTGGGAGCAAGGTGCCCAAAATGCCTCCTAAGTTCACAGCCTGAAGAAAAGGGACCTGAAAAGACCCAGAACCTATCTCTGATGCTGACACCATCTAAAGTGGATGTGTAATTGTTTGTTTTACAAATTTTAGGCAATGATAGCCTCCTATGTGAACTCCCTAGTCCCAAACTCATTCCAACCCTCATCTGTCAGAATACGAGTGAATACTCTCCCTAGTGATTACTCTCCCTAGATAACAGCCGATCACATACTCTCTCTTGTTCAAAACTTTCAGTGGGGGGGGGGGGGGGGGGGGGGGGGGGGGCAGAGGTGGCAGGTGCCTTTAATCCCAGCACTCAGGAGGCAGAGGCAGGCAGATCTCTGTGCGTTTGAGGCCAGCCTGGTCTACAGAGTGAGTTCCAGAAAAGGCTCTAAAGCTACACAGAGAAACCCTGTCTCGAAAAACCAAAACAAACAAACAAACAAAAACTTTCAATGGCTCTCAGGATAAATGCCAAACCCTAGCATGGTTTTCAAGTCTCCACAAAATGACTTTGTTGTCCTGTCTCCCAACAGGCTTTGACCCACCTCATACTCCAGGACAGTAGACACTCACAGCACACACACCCTCCATGCCTGTGTCTAAACTGGCCCAGAGCCTGTTGCCTGTCTCTTCCTGTATTGAACGAAGCACTACCTGCTCAGGAAGCCTTCCCCAGCATTCCCCAGGTGGTGTCTCTAATCTAGCACATACCTTCTTCCACCTGGTGGGCTGTCATTTGTGTCCTGTTTGCCTCTTCCCCAGACTCTAATCTCCTTAAAGACAAAGACCATGCTGAGGGTGCACTGTGTATTGGACTAACATCATGATACATCTACTCACGAGTAATTATCAGGCCTCTCCAACACATTCACTATGTGGCCAGGCAAAAAATTAAGGCAGAGAACTGGGGGTGTGGCTCAGTCAGTAGAGTGCTTGCCCGGTGTACAGAAAATCCTGGGTTCCATCCCCAGCACTGCAGAAACCAGTGTGGTGCATGCCTCTAATTCCAGCACCAGGAGGATCAGAAGTTCAAGGTCATCCTGATCTAAATATAGAGCATGAGGCTAGCCTGAGCTACATGATCTTGATCTACTTAAGAAAAATTATCAAAGAAGCAACTGGATAAGAGGAGTTGTTATAGAACGCTAATGTTCTATAACATTGGGGGGTGATGCAGTTGATGACATTTGATGTTCTAAAAGAGCTAGCGAAAGAATTCTGGATGTTTTCAACACACACACTAATATTTTACATGATAAACATAATAATTACTCTGATCTTATCATTATGTATTACACACATGTGTTGAGATGTTATAATATACCCTATCAATACAATTATGTGTCATCTAAAAATATATTCGACAGGCGGTGGTGGTGCACACCTTTAATCCCAGCACTCTGGAGGCAGAGGCAGGGGAACTTTGTGAGTTTGAGGCCAGCCTGGTCCACAGAGCTAGTTCCAGGGCTGCTACACAGAGAAACCCTGCCTCGAAAATATATAATAATATAATAAAATAAACAAAAAATAAAAATATATTCAAGAATGGAGAAGGATAAATGATAATATATCATATATATCATGGTAGGTGCCCAAGTTCATGCCTGATGAGCTTGGACCCCTCCCAGGGCAGGGACAGGTCAGACAAGGAAAGAGTGGCATACTCTTGTACAAGCTAGGGCAAGAGGTAGCACAGGCTGCCAGCTCAAATGAGAAGTGGTTACAAAAGATAGGTAAATCTGGGCAAGGGAGGGGAGGTGGGTGAATAATACATGTTCATAAAACCTCAGCCTTGCCTGCAGGGATAATCTCCACCAACCAAAACTTTCACCAAACATCCTGGGGCAGAGGACTGTGGGCCTTGGCAGGGATGGGCCCCAAGTGCTGACTGCACACTCCTCCCCTCTGTCTCATTCTCCTTGCAGATATCACTGCCTTTCACAAACCCCGAAGGCCCCTGGAGATCTTCAAAAAGGTGGGGATCCCCATCATCGCAGTGCTGCTGAGCCTGGCAGCCATCGCGACTGTAGCCATCATCAGTGAGTTACAGCCCCTCCACGGCTTTCACCCCACCCCACCCCAGGCATGACAGTATCCTCCCTCAGTAAGTGGCAGCCCCCATTCTCACCCTCACCCCCTCAGTAAGCCACAGCCCTTACCCATCCTCCCAACCCCACAGTCATAGGCAGGTGAGCTGCACAAAGCTTTGGGTGGGGGATGAATCCTCATGCTTCATGTATCCGCCCCTGCCTGGAGGGAGCCTTCTAAGTGAAAGGGGAAGGTGAGTGCATCCCCCGGTTCTCCCAGATGGCTTCTCTTGCAGATGGTTGCTATACACGTGGCACCCATTCCAAACCCACACAGACAGTTGCAGAGGTGCCCACCCCCAGCCGCCTCCTTCCCATCTTCTGCAAACTGACAGCTGGTGGAGGGGCAGGGTGGAGCGGGGCTGAACAGGGTGTCTGTGCAACCCTGGCAGACCAGAGAGCATTTCTGCCTATAAAGAGAAGAGGGGCAGGAGGCCCCAGGAAAGAGGGCCAGGCAGATGGAACCCTCTGCCCACCTCAGCCCAATCTTCATTACAGCCAGTGCATTAGCCCTGATGTGGTCTGGGGCAGCCCACTCTGACAATGATACCCACAGTTACAGCAGGGACTAGCGCATAGGAGACAAGATTAGGAATCAGGAGTGGGGCTCTTGGCTCTACTGTTTGAACCTGTGTGTCCATGACATCCATTGGGCCCCTCTACCATGAAGTGCCCTTAAGCATCATGAGCAGTAATGAGCTTCCTTGTGTGAGGAACCTGGATTAAAATCCAAAAGTATGTAGCAGGCACCCAGGGTGCATAGTGCCTGTACACCCTGGGCATCGCTGGTCTTTGGGGAGCCTGTACTTTGGGATTGTGAGGACATTTGCACTAGCAGCAGACACCACCCATTGGATGACTCACAAAGATCCTCTGCTTTAACCCTTTATTCTACACTTGGGACATTAAGGCTCAGTCCACAGGGGCTGGCACAGGACCCGTTTCCCAGCGGAGCAGGTCCTCATCATAGTAACAATGGGTATCCACAATTGAGACACTGTCTCGATCCTTGAGAGCCTGGGGTGTTTGTGAGACATATAAACCCCAAGTCACTTCTTCTCAACATTGGCTGGCCCAACCTGATGTTGCAATGTTAGTCAGCTTTCCGTTACTGTAACAAAACACCTGAAACCAGCTCCCAAAGGTTGCCCTCTGAACTCCAGTTGGGCACATGCGACCACACAATAAATAAATAATTTCTTTTTTTAAAACTGGCTGCCTGTTTCCAGCCGGCCTGACTTTCAGAAGCAGCAGCCTCTCTCTGTCTGCCTAACCCTCTCTGCCCCTCCCTCATGTGTCTTCTAGTCAAGGTGGTTCTGGTCAGATACTACTTCATCTGTGAAAGTCCTCTGGCCTTCATTCCGAGGGAGCAGGTGTGTGACGGCCACCTTGACTGTGCCTTGGGGGAGGATGAGGAACACTGTGTCAAGAACTTCCCTGAGAAGCCTGGAGTGACAGGTGAGTCCAGGGACTGATGGACAGGAGAAGAGGGAGACATATGCTCGGCTGTGGCCTCTGCCCACATCTTTGTCAGGACCTAGCCCTCAGGTCCCCAAGAGCAAGATAATGGCACATCTACCTTTAGATCCCAGCACTGGACAGGGCACACATTCAGAAAAGATTTATTAATGGCCCTGAGGGGACAGGAAAGTATAGCCAATGCCTGCTTGGTTTTGACAAAGGAATAGAGTGCATGACCTTGGACAGCTCCTCTTTGATATCTCAATGAGACTAGAAACATGATCATGGTGTCATTTAACCAGCTAGCCACTCTTCCTTTCATAGTGTTTACTACAACATACTAGGGGACAGAGCAGAGGGAGACTACTGGAGGAACAAATGCTTCGAGTGTAAAAATCATGGTGTCACATACCTTTAATCACAGCATTCAGGAGACAGAGGCAGGTGGATTTCTGTGAGTTCAAGGCCAGCCTGGTCTACAAAGTGAGTTCCAGAACAACCAGAGCTACACAAAGACACCTGTTTCAGAAAAAGAAATGTGATCAGCTAGCTTGGACTGACCTACTAACACTTAGTGTGAAGGAATAGTATGAGAGTCCATGAGAGCCAAGATAAAAGAATATCAAATATTTATTTGGGGAACGCCCACAAATGACAATAAGGTAGAGAGCCACCATGGTCTTCTGCCCGGGGGCACTGGAAGCTGAGATCAGATCTCTGACTACCACATGAGACAGAGAGTCAGACAGACAGACAGACAGACAGACAGACAGACAGAGAGACAGAGAGACAGAGAGACAGAGACAGAGAGAGAGAGAGAGAGAGAGAGAGAGAGAGAGAGGATGCTTCTTCTCTCCACTTCTCAGTCTACACATAGCACCTCAGACCATGTCCAAAAGGCAAAAGGGCTGGTACCCTAAAAGCTATTGGCTGAATGAATTCCCACAACTTAGCCCAGAAGATAGGTAATGAGACCCTTTGAGGGGCAGGGCTGAGTGACTTCTTGTATATTGGCTGTTATTTAGTAAAGCCAAATGCCCATGGGCTCCTGCCATGCTAACACCAATAGAAGTTTTCACTTTAACTCCCTCTCTGACCTTCCATGGAGAAGCTACCAGGCCCTGGCTGAGATGTTTCCCCAAACTAAGCAAGTTACGTGGACCATTGTAGAGAAATTATGTCACTGATTGTCAAACCCATACCTATAGTAGCAAAAAGAGAGGCTGCCAGTCATAGTCCCTGGGCAGCTGGTCAGGCTTCCCCCTAGTTGCCATCCATATTAGGCTCTAGTCAACTGGAAGAACTTCACTTGCTGTTGAACATGTCCTCAGTTCTGGGTTGGGAGGGGAGGGGCTAGTCTAGAGAGGCCCCACCCTCCAGCTGACCCAGGCTCCTTCCCTCCTAGTCCGTCTCTCCAAGCATCGATCAACCCTGCAGGTGCTAGATGCAGCCACAGGGACCTGGGCCTCTGCCTGTTTTGATAACTTCACAGAAGCACTGGCCAAGACAGCCTGCAGACAGATGGGCTATGACAGGTATCCAACCAAGGCTTTAAGAGGCTCACCTCACCCCAGCAGCCTCTGTTCTCCTTCTTGCCTACCTTCCCTCCTCCCTCCCTCCCTTCCTTCCTCTTTTCTCCTCTTTCTCCCTTTTCCCTAAAAACACAGGCAAGGGATTCCTATAGAACTGTGTTTGAGTCCTAGCACTTTCACTTACAAGTTGCCTGAAGGTTAATCTCTGACCTCTGCTTCCTCCAGAGTTAACCAGATGAAACAATGCCAATCTTACTAGAGGAGAATGGAGCCCTGTTCTCTCTCCTTTTCCTTTTGTGACAAGTTCCTGACCATAACACAAAGCCTAATTTACATATGCAAAGTCCTCTTGGTTAAAATTTAGCAGAAAGGAAGACTGGGGGTGTAGCTCAGTGGTAGAGAACTTGCCTGGCACATGCAAAGCCCTGGGTTCCATTTGCAGCACTGAAAAACAAAAATAGCAAGGACTAGGCTGATTCTGTTGGGGCCCAGCAGCAGCAGCAGCAGCAGCAGCAGCAGCAGCAGCAGCCCCAGTCCTCTCAGTGAACTGTAGAAGCAAGTCCAAATCTGGAGTGGATGGAAGGTACATGAAGGGTAATTAGCATTATATATATTTATATTCATTTGATCTTGGCAGAAAGCTCAAAGCACAGAAAAAACATTATATATATTTATATTCATTTGATCTTGGCAGAAAGCTCAAAGCACAGTTATTATTAAATCTGTGTTACAAGGAGGTTCTGAAGAATAAGTGGCTTGATTAGGCAGAAGCTGGGAGATAGAGGACTAGAATCTGTGCCTGCCGGCATCGCTGATTCCTGGACACCACAAGTTCTCAGCATCTTTGTATACTGGGAATTCTCTCTACTCACAAGGCTTCATCAATAAAGGAAGAAGTGAGCATTGATCCCTCCAGGAGCCAGGTGTTCTGCTGCAAAGCAGGATCACCCTCCCTGGCAAGCTGAACTTCCTCAGGACTCTAAAGGGACTGAGCCCGGAAAGAAATGACTACTAGACAGACATTGCCAGTTGATCACAGAGTTCTCTCTATGATCCCTACAGCAGCCTCAAGGTTTTGTCCAAGAGATGCTTTGGGCAGCTAGGATGAACCCATCTGGCCTCTGTCTCCTCTGCCTCCTGGTTATAGTTTCTGCTCTCTCCCCTGGCATCCCCCAGAAAGGAACACCCTGTCACCTTCATTTCAAAGGACAGCAGGAGGCATGCCCAGCACCTGCTGTCCTCCTCTACTCCTGCAGCTAGCTCCACCCCCACTGCAGTCCAGCCAACTGCAGAGTCAGCTGGACCCAATGCTGCAGGCTGAGTCCAAGTTATGAAACCTGGTGGATTCCCTGAGGTTGTTAAGGTGGTAGCCTGTCAGAATTTCTACCTTTCTGGAGAGCACGGAGGCACTGACCTACCTGGCCTCTGGGGCTTTATAATATCAAAGTTCATTAAATTACACACTAGGTTGTATTTGGTGAGCAACCGTTCACTCCCTGGAATAAGGGGGTCTCCCATACATTCAGTCCAGCCTCTGCCCCAGCTCACTGTTCTCTTCCTACACAGCCAACCCACTTTCAGAGCAGTGAAGATTGGCCCAGACCAGAATTTCACTGTAGTTCAAGTCACAGAAAACAACCAGGAACTTCAGATGCAAAACAGAAGTGGGTAAGTGAAGGGATGCCTTCTGACCTATAGAGGCTAACTAACACTGGAAAGCCACTCATGGCTGCAGCAGGGGAAAACGAGCCAGACAACAGGAAGAACTAGCCAAGCAACTCATTAAACATCCAGGATTATGGAATCCCAATTCTGAGTTCAGAGGGTATTCTCCATTCACACACGCACACACACACACACATACACACACACACACACACACAAATTATATATATGCATATGCATATATATGTATATATAATGTGTGCTATCCTTCTCAAAGAGAGAGGAATGAACAATGACCTTCTGTCTGCCTGCACAGTCAGGATTGTTCCTTCCACAGCTACTTCATGTTCCCTGGTAGGGAGTTGCCTGGTAGGCAAGAGCCCGAAAAGCATTTTGTCCTTTTCCATCACTTCCTCGGGCCAAAGCAGCACCTTCTGATGCTCCAAAGAAGGCTCCCTAACCCTTGCCTCATCACCCTGTTAGAGCACAACTGAACCCAAACAAAACCTGCTGCAAGGGAGCAAAGGCTCCAAGAGCAGCTGTCTTCTTCGAATTCAGGACACAGGACAGATGCTTGCCATAGTTGATCTTGAAAGGGACAGAGCCGATAGTAGAGCGACTATCTGTGTGATTCCATCAAAATCCTGTTCTGTTTGAAAGGACTGCAGTGCGCCCAGTTGTAGCCAGCTTTCTCTTAGGCCAACCAGCTCCCAAATCATGACATGGAGACTTCTTATTAGTTATGAATGCTTGGCATTATCTTATGTTTCTCCCACTGGCTCTTATAACTTAACCTATTTGTCTTCATCTATGTTTTGCCTCTGGGATTTTTTACCTTTTTTTTCTTTCTGTGTATCTTATGTTTACTGATTCTCATGTCTGCCTGGCAGCTGTCTGGCCCAGTTGGGCGTGTCCCTCTCTTTCTCCCACACATTTTTTTCTCTCTCTCCTCTCTCCCCTCCCCTTCCCTCTCCCTCTCTCCCTTCTCCTCCCTCTGCCCCCTCTCCCCTGCTCCTAGATTTTGTCTACTTATTCTATCTGCTCATCAGCCCTGACTCTCCGTCTCCTGCCTAACTATTGGCCATTCACCTTTTTATTAGATCACTCAGGTGCCTTAGGCAGCCAAGGTGAAACAAATGTAACACATCTTTATGTAATTAAACAAATGCAGCAGAAACAAATGTAACACATCTTTGCTAACTATTCTACAACAGCCAGTACTGCTCCTTTCCCACCCCCCCCACCCCCGGGGCTGCCTTTGCTCTGGGCAGAGCTCCATACATGGTAGGCGCATGCACAGCAATGGGGGTGTTGAATCAAATTGAACCCCACTGAGTATTAATGCGATTCTACAGGCCCGTGATGAAGGTCCCAGGGTTTCTCAGTATTGGGGGACAGGGTTGAACCAGCAGTGTCACAGGGCTGAGTTCCAGCCTGTGTCTCTCTTTCAGGACCTGCCTCTCCCTGGTTTCCCTGAGCTGCCTCGGTAAGTACACCCTATCTCTCTGAGAGTTTGGGGCCTAGGCCAGCAGTGAGCAGGAAGAAAGACCTTCATCTTCACTGCGCTCCTGGTCACTAAGCCCCACTGTTTGGGCTTATAGATCAGCATTCCTGGTTAATGCTAAGAACTCCCTTCTACCCTCTGCTCACAGCACATGATCTGAGTGTATTAGATTTTTATTACTGTAATATTTAAGGCAGGATAACATTGTAAAGAAGAGTTTTGCTTAGCTTATAGTTTTAAAACCTGGAGGTTTAAGATCAGAAAGCCACCTTGGTTTGTCCTCAAGTGGGGCCCTAAGGCTGGTTGGTGGCTCATCATGGAATGTGGATGAAACAAGGAACCAGACAGCAATTCAGGGGTGGGCTCTGTTTGGTCCTAGTTCTCACAGGGACTCAAGGAGCACAGAAACGGCTTATCCCCCTCAGAGGATGGCTACTCTGATGATCTAAGGGCCACTAGGCCCCGCCTCTTAAAGGGCCCACTGCCTAATCACCAACACACTCAAGGCTAAGCTGCCACCTTGAGGGAGGCACACTCAAACCATAGCCCCCAGTGTTCCAGGGACTTCCAAGCAGATCACTGCTGGACAGAGCTTTATATAAAGACCACAGGAACCAGTTCAGAAGAGTCTAGACCCCTCCCCCCCCCCACCTTCCCAACCAAGAAGCTTTGAATGAGTGAGCAAGGGGGCAAGTTGAATGCAGGGTTGGACCAGATAGCGTTTGGCAGGCACAGGGTCAGGCAGAAGAGAGATGGTGGGAAGGATAATGGCATGGAGTATCCACAAGACCAGAGAGGCATGGAACAGGGCAAGGAGATTGCACTGGAGACTTTTTTTGCTTTGTCTTTAGATTTAAAAAAAAAAAAAAAGCAAAAACAAAAACAAAAAACCTATGAGGTGGGTATGAGCATGTGCATGCAACTCCTTTGGAGACCAGTAGAGGGCCTCAGATCCCGGAGCTGAAGTTACAAGCAGTTAGTTGTGCGCTGTCTGTTTTGGGTACTGGGAACCAAACTCAGGTCTCTGGAAGAGAAGAAGGCGCCCTTATCCATTGAGCCATCTCTCCAGCCCTAACATTGAAGATTTTAACTCAAGTGCAAAGGTCAGATGTGAAAGGCAGGTCAGAAGATGGCAGGCTAGCCAATGGGCAACCTTCCTTAACAGAGGGAAGAAACCCAGTTTCTAGAACTTTTACCTAATTTCCTGATACCAAAGTAACTTGTGACTATCTGTTTACTCGCGTGGGTGGTAGTGCCTGGGGACTGTTCTGTTTGGTTAGGGCTTTCGGAATTCATGACTCTGCACCCTTACTTGTTTTGAAGATGAGAAATTGCAAGCACAATGGACACACCCATGTTCAAGAGTCTAAATTCCTAAACACACGCAAAGTAGAGAGGGGGTACCCCGATATTAATTCTCTACCGACGCAGTCAATCAGACCAAGCAGAATTAAGAATTAAAAGTCCAGGTTTAAAGAGTAAAATGCTCCCGATGGTCTCCCAGTCCCCAGAGAGATGAGGAGAAGGAACTGGAAAACCACATGGCCTTTCCTTAAGATGCAAGTTAAATACCCTGTAGGGGGTGGTCTTGAGCATCTCTGGGGGAGGAGCCATGGTTTCTCAGGCTTTCTGAGACTGGGCAAGAGCCCTCCCTCTAACTCGTGGAGCTCCATCCCAACGGGGTTTCAGGGAAACCTGTGGTATCACGCTGGTTATCTTTCCAGTGAATGATTCAGAACTGGCGTGAGTGGGCTCTGCCCTCCAGTACCATTCCTAAGGGCCCTGCTCCAGGGCTTTGTGGGATGGGAGGCTTCCTCAGAAACCTGACTTCTCTCCCCCCCCCTTCCCCTTTTCTCCATCGGGCCCAGAATGTGGAAGGAGCCTGAAGACTCCTCGTGTGGTGGGCGGGGTGGAGGCCTCTGTGGATTCTTGGCCGTGGCAGGTCAGCATCCAGTACGACAGGCAGCACACCTGTGGTGGCAGCATCCTGGATCCCCACTGGATCCTCACAGCAGCCCACTGCTTCAGGTAAGACTCCCAGCTATGAGGAGGCCAGGAGGGATGGAGGCCATGGAGGGGCTAGCCTCCTGATTTGTTTCCTGACTACAGCTGCCAGCCTTCCCAGGAAACCATTGTTGGGGTGCAGCAATGAAATACTGGCCACCATATCCCCATTAGGTACTGGGGATCTGTGCAGAGAGTGCTGGTCTCCAAGGTTGACCTCTGTTGTGTGAAAAGCCTCAGGTACCCAGGGTCCTCACCCCAGTGTGCCCATCCCACTGGTGCTACAGAAGTTCTCCCCACACAATCTGTGCTCCCAAGAACTTGACTCTTCCTTGACAGTCTTCCAGTAGATGGCCCCCAGAGTCTAGAGTCACTACCTATGTCTAGAAACAGAACCAAGTATAGATTATCATTTGGTCCAGCAGACAGGGAGCTGGCCAGGCCTTAGGAAAGGGTTACACTCAGGCCCTCTTCACTTCATTCATCCATTTCATTCAGCATCCAGTGAGTACCAAGAACCACCCCCCTTCAGATCCTGTGCATCACAGGGACCCCATCATCACCTTCAAGGTATCTTGGTCTAGCTCAGGGGTTTTTCACCTTTTTGAGATGGACAAGAGCTCTAAATCCACTCCTGGGGAAAGTTCCCAGGGCAGGGCCTGACAGGGAGAAGAATGAACGTATCCCCATGACTCAACAAACCACAATGAAAGTAGCATAGACAAGACCAAGGGTGGGGGAGAGCCTGACAGGACTCCAAGGCCCAGACACGGAGTAGCCTCTTCCCAACCCTCAGGTTGAAGTTTCCTTGGATCCTTTTAATGAAGAAAAAGAATCCTATCTCCTTGTATAATCTGGCTTCAGGAAGGTGGCTCCTCAGACTGCTCTTCTCCACCACTCTGTCCCCACCATATATATGATCTTCCAGAGTATCAGCAGACCTGGAGACCTAGCCCAGGCAAAGCCTCATGTGATTGTCTTCCGCCTGATCTAGCCATCTCCATCCATAGGAAGTATCTTGATGTGTCCAACTGGAAGGTGAGGGCTGGTTCAGATAAACTGGGCCACACTCCGTCCTTGCCTGTGGCTAAGATCTTCGTCACCGAGCACAATGCCCTGTACCCCAAAGAGAAGGACATTGCCCTCATCAAGCTGCAGGTGCCACTCACATTCTCAGGTGAGAGGTGGTCCCTGGGAACGGAGCCCCTCAGATTTTCTTTGCTCCTACTCTGCTGAGCAGCCTTGGACATATCATGTTCCTTCTCAAGACCAGCTTGCCCACAATGTCCAGCTAATGTGTCATCTCCACATCTCTGGTGCCAGGGAACCTGCCGTAACTGTCAGCTAACATTTATACCTTCCCCTGTCAGAGATTCCTCCAAGTCTATTTGCTCCATTTGGAAGATCCAATTCATCTGTTCTTGAAGTCATTAGGCCCTTTTTTAAAGAATTGTCTAATCCCTTCCTTACCCCTGACTGGTACTCAAGACTCTACACAATAGCCCTGCCAAAGGTCACTGTGCCTCTGTTTGCACTCCTCTAGGAACAAGGAACCTAGTATTTCCTGGTTTTTGGTTTTGGTTTTGGTTTTTTTGTTTTTTTGTTTTTTGTTTTTGTTTTTGGTTTTTTTTGTGTGTGTGTGTGTATGAGTGTGTGCATGTGTCAGAAGACAGAAAGAGTTGGGGCAGCACAGGTCGAGGGACAGCCCAAGTGTTGTCTGCAGTTCCAGACCACAGGGGGAGGTTGGGTAGGCAAGTTTGAGCATGCTCGGCACTGGAGAATGAGAACAGTTGTCTAAACTGCAGAGATTGGTCTCTAGAGGTTTAGTATCTGGACCTGGGGTGATTTAGGGCAGAGAAAAACACTAGCTTGGCTTATGAGAGTGGGGTGATGGTGAGTGAGGTTAAGGGTGTGGGCTCCAGATTTAGTTTAGATACTGACGGCCTCGCTGACAAATCGTTTGTTCTCTCTAGGAATTAGCTAAACTAGCTAAATTAGCAGACCAGCAAGACCCCCAACACATAAAAGCACAAAATATAGAAAATAAAAAAACCAACCCTAATATAGGATCTCCCTCTCCATTCCTGGCAGACACTGTCAGGCCCATCTGCCTGCCCTTCTCTGATGAAGAGCTCATCCCAGGCACACCACTCTGGGTCATTGGATGGGGCTTTACAGAGCAAAATGGAGGTGAGTCTTGGGCTCAAGACCTCAGAAACCTTGCATGGTGGTATCTTACCACCCCACCCCACTGCCATTAGTAATAAGAAAGAGGAACACCCTTCAAAAAAACACACCCTGGCTACCAGGTATCAAAATTCCGGGCATCAAAGAGCATTGGTGGCCCAGAAAATTACTCTGGGCTGAGGGTAAAGGTAAGAATAAGGAAATACGTTTTCTTCGACCTCCCAGGGTCGATGTCTGACGTGCTGCTGCAAGCCTCAATCCAGCTCATCGACAGCACACGCTGCAATGCAGAGGATGCCTACCAGGGGGAAGTCACTTCGGAGATGGTGTGTGCGGGTACCCCACAAGGTGGCGTGGACGCCTGCCAGGTGAGTCCTCCAAAGACCCTGGGGAGTTCTGTGAGTAGGAATGGAGGTCCTGAGGAGATGTGGAAACCTACAAACTGGATGCCCACATGAAGCCTTGAAAATTGTAATGTTCTGTTCGTGGTAACGGAGGGCAAAAACATAGTCTGATAAAGACAGAAGAATGGAGGGTGGGTAGATGGATAGATGGAGCTCCGTGAGCAGAAAGAATTTAAATGTGTATGTCACATGTAAAGATGGCATTGCCACCTTCTCCACCCACCCTCACTTCTCATCATCTATGATCCCTTTGAGGATAATGACCCCAGGTCTGTTTGCTCTGTGACTACCCCTATCCTGCTGTACTTTATGAGAAAATCATCTCATACAGGTGAGCTTTACATGTCCCCTCTTCCTGTCTCCATGGCCACCAGGACTTCTGAGTGATTCCCATGTGCCTTTTTATCACCCCATAACTCCAGAGAATCTTTGGAGCCATTTTTATTCAAATTTCTCAGCCTACTCCCAACCCCCAACACCAAAACCCTCATTCAAGAACAAGCTGTCTCTGAGCATCTCTTTAAGGCCATGAACAGTAGATTTAGAGAGAATGTCTACCCTCCAGGAACTCATGGTGGCCACAGAGAGGATGTGAGTTACTGAGCTCAGAGAGAGGCAGTGAGTGTGTTCCTCACCACTTTATTTTGACCTATTTGTTTGTAAACTTCCTGGGGCAGGGGTGGGCAAGGATCTTTTTCCCTGGTAATTAAACCTCAGTTATCCAGAACAGGACCAACATAAAGAGGCACTCCATCGGTGGTTAGATAGATGTAGGAACTGCCAGGCTAAGCTAAATTCAATTTGCTCAAGTGACTTATGACCCTCTGATAAGGCAGCAGCTTGCCCTCAACTTAGTTGCCTACAGATGGGTCATTTTTTCCCCAAGAGTAAAGAGCACTAAATAATATGAGCAAGAAGGAGGGTAGACAAGTTGGCACACAGAGCCATGGAGACTACAAGGGAACAGATGGGCCAATTCAGGGACAGGAGGAGGAAGGCCACCCTTAGCCTGACCTCTCCTCCCTCACAGCTCCTGTCCTGGCTTTTCACAGGGTGACAGTGGTGGGCCTTTGATGTACCACTCTGGCCATTGGCAGATAGTAGGCATCGTGAGCTGGGGCTATGGCTGCGGGAGCCCAAGTACCCCTGGAGTGTACACCAAGGTCTCTGCCTTTCTCAACTGGATCTACAATGTGCGGAAGGTGAGTGTTTAGTCCCACAGGGAGCCCTCCCTCCATACACCTACCCTGAGGCCATGCATCCTCCTTAGATTTGATTTAAATAGCTCTGACAACATTTTATATCCCAAACACATTTTCCCTCCCAGCAAGCTGACAGTCTGGGATCTCTTTATTAAAGCTGAGATTCCTTAGGTTAGCAATATCTGTGAAATGCAAGAACTTTAGGGTGCAGAACCCCAAGCTTTATCATTCTCTATAACTAGCATTCTCTAGAACAAGACTGCTGGACCTTTTCCAGGGAGATAATGCTGAGAGTGTGGAGAGGGTTGGGAAATTTCCTGGCCCCTGGAGGGGAGATCGGGAGAGCAAAATGATGTCAGGAAAGGAAGATAATGTTGACCTTTTCACCACTTTGTCAATTTCGAGTCATCTGACTTTTCTTTTGCCGTTGTCTTTTTTTTTTTTTTCCATTCTAGTCTGAGTTGTAACACTGCTATCCGCCACATCTGAAAGCTGCTTCTCCTCAGACCTGCCCACTGCCTGATCCCTCAAAGTCAGACACAGGGCAAGAACCTCCTTGTACACGACTCTGGTGTTTCCTGCAGTAACCGAGGACCAGACACACACTGCAGAGGTGCCCGGAAGGAATTCAGATGTGATAACTCAGTCACCTATGCTTCTCCCCTAACCCCAGGGAGACTTGAAGTCCACTGAGGGGAGCCAGATCATGGACTCAATTCTCAGATGTGTTATTCAGCCAAGGAGGCTCTCCCTTCCACTGAAGGGATGGAAGTTGGCTCTCTCCTGAGAGCCCATATCACTAAGGGCAGAGTCAAGGAGAAAAAGGTCTAAGAGGCCTTTGTCTTCTTTGCCCATTCCTAAAGCTGCCTTAGTAGGAAACTGTCAGTTCTAGTTTTAGATGTAGTTGACTGTTGTCTGTTTTGTAACTGTTACCACATACCATTGAGCTCATGGTCATTAAACAGGTATGAGAAATCTTTGACTTAGGCTTCCTGGACAGCTTGATAAGAATCCAACTAAGACTATCACACCTTTTAGTCTTTGGCCTGGTATTGTGTGACTGTTCCCCGGGAAATGTGAACAGATATCCATTCAACACAGATAGAGCACCAAGAACAAACCAAAGAAATGATTCCACCCAAGTCTAGATTTCTGGGCCAATGAGTTTGGGGGCATTGCTTGCAGGTGCCTGGGTAACTTGGAGGCAGCTGCATCACCAAAAGGCCCACCCCCAGCATAGACAATAATGCATGAAGGAGGCATCATTAAGGATCTCTGCCCAACGTTCAGAGAGATACACTGACACTATGTCCTGTGTATCTACCTTTCCTGGAAATTGGTGACTGCTTGTATGTACTTGGAAAGGGCTTCATGAGTCCTATGACTTTCTGGGTTTCTTGTACCTTATAGGTTTCATAAACTACACTTTTCATTAGCTTTCTATATCGTATGAGCCTGCCCCTCTTTCTAGGAGGGAGTATTTCAGTTCAGAGGAAGTATAGACAATGTTCCACCCATTCCCTCCAGCTCCTATGTTTGTTTGCTTGTTTTAACCTTCTCTTTCACCGATGGTCTCTGAGCCTCAGAGGGGCTGATATAGGCAGGTGGTGTCTGAGTTAGGAATTCTGTTGCTGTGATAAAACACCATGACCGAAAGCAAGTTGTGAAGGAAAGGGTTTGTTTCATCTTGTAACTCTCAGGTCACGCTGCACCACGGAGGGAAGCCAAGGCAGAGGCTCAAGGCAGGAACCTGGAGGCAGGAACTGAAGCAGAAGCCATGGCAGCATGCTGCTTACTGAATTGATGCTCACAGAGTACTTATCTTACTTCTTTATACCACCCAGACCAGGAGTGGCACCACCCACATCGGACTGGGTCTTCCTCTGTCAAACAGCAACTAAGACACTCTTGCATATGGGCAATAAAGAGGGAGGAGGCATTTTCTCAGCTGAGGTTTCCCTTCCCACTCGACTTTAACTTGCATGACACAAAACCAACCAGGACAGGTAGTTATTTTCTTCCACTTCTCTGGGTCACTAAGCCCAACAATTGTCACTGTTTTTTTCCTTTTCCTTTTTTTTTTTTTTTTTCTGAGACAGGGTTTCTCTGTGTAACAGTCCGGGCTTTCCTGGAACTAGCTCTGTAGATGAGGCTGACTTCAAACTTACAGAGATCCACCTGCCTCTGCCTCCCCAGTGCTGGGATTAAAGGCGTTCACTACCACCACTGGGCATGTCGCTTATTCTTAACAGCTAGTTATAAGTTTCTATAGTAATAAATGCCCACAGCAAGCAAGAAATTCCCCTCCATAACTAAGGCTGACAGCAACAGTAATCTATGGATATAAGCATAAATGTCTAGAAGGCAATTTGATAGGCATGACAACAGCAATAGCTTTCCAAGACCTTGGAGCCAGGAGCTTCTCTGGCAATGAGTTTTGCCCTGACTTACAGTACCAAGAGTTCTCTCCAGTGCAGCAGGACTTAAATCCAACTAGAAAGCAGTTAGCCACACCCATAACAGGTGAGTCACTATTGCACCATGGCCACATCTTACCTGCCATATTGGTAGTGTAGCACACAGGGTCAGTAACAGCAGGAGTATCAACAACTCTCCCCTGGCAATCGGGATAACACCTTCTCTCTCTCTCTCTCTCTCTCTCTCTCTCTCTCTCTCTCTCAGACTCTCTCTCTCTCTCTCTTTTTGATTTTTTGAGCCTATCCTGGAACTCACTTTGTAGTCCAGGTCGGCCTTGAACTCACAGCAATCTTCCTGCCTCTGCTTCCTGAGTGCTGGAATTAAAGGTGTGCACCGCCACCGCCACCACCGCCGCCTAAGCTCTTTAATTGCTGTCTTTTAAGGTTCTTCCAGATGCCTTTCCAAATCTGTAAGATACTCAAGGTTTAGCATTATATAATGAAACTTTTTATAGAAGACAGACAGTCTCTCTGAGGCCCACTAACATCTGTTCCAAACAAGTGCCAATTGGTCTTGAGAGTCAGCAGCCGAGGGCACAGTTAAAATGTTAGCATGCTCCAATGCCACATGAAAGATGCCACCACTTATACCAGTTATCATATCAATGGGAAGTGTTGCCTACAGCAGTATGAATGGGGGACAGTGTCTCATCCAGCTCTCCATAATTATCTTAGTCAGTGTTCTATTGCTGTGAAGAGACACCATGACCATGGCTACTCTTACAAAAGAAAACATTTAATTGGGGCTTGCTTACAGTTTCAGAAGTTTACTCCATTATCATCATGCTAAGGAGTAGAGTGGCAGGCAGGCAGACATGATGCTGAAGAATTAGCTGGATCTGCAGGCAACAGGAAGAGAGAAGGAGACAGAGTCAGAGAGAGACTGGGCCTGGCTTGGGCTTTGAAACCGGAAAGACCACCCCAGTGACACACTTCCTCCAACCATTCCAACAAGGCTACACCTCCTAATCCTCAAGTAATCCCACTCCCTGAAGACTAAGCATTCGAATATATGAGCCTATGGGGGCCATTCTTAGCCAAACTACCACAATAATCTACCATAATTTTCAATGAGTCATTTCATATCATCCTGGGGCCCCCGCTATGGGGACATTATGTATCCACCTGCATTCAATGAGTTTGGCAAGACTGGCTTACACTGCTTGGCCCAGCCTAGAGCCAGAGTATACAAAGCCATGTTCTTGCCTGTCACTGGTACTGGCTCCCCACTTCTATCATGTTCTCAATTGATGTCAGAACTGTTACTTCTCCATCACCACATCTGGTTCCTGAAGAAGCTGAACAAACCTTCCTTGGTATATCTTCTTGCAGGGGAGAAACAAACTCAGCATAACTAGGGGAATGATTGTGCACTCCTAGGACAAGCTTTATGTTTTCATTTCTCTTTTGTTATTCGCTACTTCTTTTTAAAATTATTTTAACTTATTTAATTTTGTATGGATGTTTTGTCTGCGAGCCTATGGGGGCCATTCTTAGCCAAACTACCACAATAATCCACCATAATTTTCAATGAGTCATTTCGTATTATCCTGGGGCCCCGTTGTGGGGACATTATGTATCTACCTTCATTCAATGAGTTTGGCAAGACTGGCTTACACTGCTTGGCCCAGCCTAGAGCCAGAGTATACAAAGCCATGTTCTTGCCTGTCACTGGTACTGGCTCCCCACTTCTATCATGTTCTCAATTGATGTCAGAACTGTTACTTCTCCATCACCACATCTGGTTCCTGAAGAAGCTGAACAAACCTTCCTTGGTATATCTTCTTGCAGGGGAGAAACAAACTCAGCATAACTAGGGGAATGATTGTGCACTCCTAGGACAAGCTTAATTTTTCACATGTATTTCTCTTTTGTTATTCGCTACTTATTTTTAAAATTATTTTAACTTATTTAATTTTGTATGGATGTTTTGTCTGCATGTATGTCTGTATCACCAGAAGAGGGCACTGGATGCCCTGGGATTTGTGACAAAGGTTGAAAGCCAGAATGTGGGTACTGGGAACTGAATATAGGTCCTCTGGAAGAGCAGCCAGTGCTCTTAACTGCTGAGCTTTCTGTCCAGCCCTATTCACTACCCACCACTTACACACCTTTGTTAAAGCACTGCTCAAGGTTTAAAACCCTTCTGGGGCTCACCTGGATAGCACTCAGCTGTCTGTGATCCCCACTCCCTACCCAGGCTCAACACAAATCTTGTCACATTTGCATTCAAGTAACCTAGGCAGGCCCTATGGTCTGTTTTCCCTTTTTGTTCATATCTTCAGGATGACTCTACCTTATACATCCCACTTACATGCCAGTCTAAATGGTTCAGATCTGTCAGAGCCTAGTCTACATTGTAAAGATTGAATTCCACCATGGGGCTCAGCAGAGCCACCCAAGCCCTACACCAGTCCTAAGAGCCCTGCTGCTTAGCTTCTTTCTGAACGCTTCTATCTGGCTCAGCGAACTAGAGTCCAGCACCACCTCGTCCATACCAAGTCCCCTCAGCAATGCCTATCTTTCCTTTGCTGT